AGATTGCCCTTGCACCAACACGTCGGCGGCCCTCTGCTTGCTGCACGTACCCAACACCGAACAGGAACATCCCAGGGCTAGCTTGCTTTGATCTGTAATCTGCATGGCAACTCTGGCCAACGACGTGCAACGTGCCTAGGGTGCCCTTGAACAAGGCCCATACATGAAGGGACACCCACGGTGGTGCTACATCTGCCAGTTTATTCCTCCCCCGAGCGAAAGAGAGACATGTCGGAATGCCCCAGTTTCATCAGTATCGTCGTTTGCAACATACGATGAACCGTGAGGTTCGCCACAGAACAAAAGTGTATCAAAGAGACTCCCGGACGGCCAAATGGTCGTAGGGGGCGAAATCAATCGTGTGCAGGTGTTCAGTTCGCAACATGAGCAACCCGGAAAGCACCTACATGCACGGCTCAAAGCAAGCGTGGTTTGCAGGGTATCCATGACAATTTGTAAACAAAGTGCCGACGACACATGCAACAGACATCATTCGAGAGAACCGTCTACGGAATGCGGCAGCTTTGAAGGTGTTTGCAATCGGGAGGAATGGAAGACCAATAGATACACAGCATTCTTCGTTAACTTCTCCGGTGGTTTCGTTGGCGAACAGGTCGACAGCTTAGTGAAGACACAACAAGTGCCCATGGAACTGATGTCACCAGCAACGACCGACAGAGCAGAACAGTTAACTATTCGGACAACACCTTATGCGTCTAACAATTTCGTGGGTGACATGGCGTGCATTGCCGGCGACAGACATGAGTCAGACACCTCCAGCGACTGGTTCACCGGGACGCCACCTCCAGTAGCAGGATCTCTTGATTCTCTGCCGAACATCCAACCAAAACGAAAAACCTCTGCTTGGGGCGAGGGAATGTTAACCCGACGTTCATGTTCTGAGTTCTCATTTACCACCAAGGCTATATATACACCTGCTTTTGGCCATGTACAACCTTGGGAGAAATCAACACATAAATTTTCATTCTGAAGCCTGCCGGGCTTAGTGACCGTTCGTCTTTACCATCTCCATGGGTATTCTGCTCTCGCGAGTTTCTGCATCCAAGGGTACTGAATCGCAGATGCTGATACACAAACAAGAGTGTCCGATGAATCGAAGTTTGTTGTGACCGAATGCCCGCTTGACAATATCACCCACGGAACGAGGGTGGATATGCAAAAGGCGTGGGGCATACAAACAACGGAGGGAGTACCTTCCTCTCCGATAGGATCCAAAAAGAATTCGCCAAAGCACAGATGTTTCAGCAGACATTGGAGATGCCGTGCATACGGCAGGATACCGGACGCTTGTGACCTTTCAACGCCACCAATACGACACCACTCCAGGCCACGCGGGGGACTGGCCTCTTGCGCTTGCCCAACGGCTCAAAGATGTTCGAATGATATTGTACTCAGGTGATACGTCTTCCGTTTCAAGCTCGGGTTCGACATGCCAAATCTCAAATTTCAGCATGGTCTGAATCAAGTTGCAGTAGAAACGTGTTCACGAAGAGAACCGCTCAAAATGGCTGAGACCTCATGAAGAAGGTCCAACCGCGAAGCCACGAGGGGTACGTTCACCGAAAGTCTTGCGAATTCCCTACTGGTCTGAACTAAGCATTCAACTTGAGACAGAAGAACATGTCTCCTCGACTCCTTGTTTCCTTTCTTCGACCGTCCACGTCTTGGGGCAAGGGTTGGGGGGGCTGATCCTATTTTGTGTTCCCCATGCAAGCCCTACATTGTTTCCTTTTTTTTATTGATTACATGTGGTGGTACACGGAACAAAACGCCCGAAAAAAGGAGATACATGTACATGAAAGCCATAAATCACGAATGACAATGACCAGTTGACTGAACCCGGAACACTACAATCCGTGCGGTCCTATCCACCCCAACCTGCTGCAACACAAGATAGGGCGGAGCTGATAGGGTGCCATGGTCAAGCATGCTACCTTGCTACCCTACAGTACGGAGTAAAAGCCTCGCACGGTAAGTGCTGCGAGGTCACAGAAGTGGCACATGATGAAGCGAACGCCTCCGGATATCGTTGAAAACAGAGCGTCACAAAAAACGCTGGGACCCCTACCCGTGTCACCGATTTCTAAGTCGGAAAAATACGATAGTTCCGGAAATGCGCAAGCGTTTCGAGAGTGGCTCCAACATTGTTGCTTAAACACGCGTTGCAATTTGATTTTCGATTAAGAATGTTTTTCCACATGTTTTCTTTGATCTCTTGGTAGCTAGAAAATGGTCCAAACACACACAACGGAGAACAAATGTTTTTAGATTGTCCGCAAATAAGCTGGACACAGAGTGATTGTTTCAGTCTTCGGGTGGATAGTTTAAAAAACATTCGTTGAAAAAAGGGCTAATACATAAAATGTTGTTTCCAAGTCGCAGGCTTGCGGCGTTGGGGGGAGCACAAATCGGCCGAATGTTTTGGACTGTGGCTAGTGTCAGACATCACACAAGGCAAAGAGAAACTGCCACAAAGTGCGATCGTGCTCAGCGTTGAGCCAGCAGAGTATCCTCAAACCTCGATCAAGCGGTTGGGACATAATGTGTGGTTACCGTAAACGTCGGAGTTTTCCCCCCGGGGAGGGGATCGCTTTTTTGTCGGAAACCAACCGCCCCAGGGGTAAATTGACGTTTGGGGGGGGGGTCGTTTTTTTTTCCAACGCTACCCCGGGGGGAGGAAATCCCACCCGGGGGGATTGTGCAAAATAATGATGGTCCACACACCAGACACACGAAGAGAGTGGCGAAACTGAGATGGATAAGGTTTACGAGCAAGCGTTCAACAACCAGAGGGAGGAGGAACGTAAGAGCAACGAAGGCGAAGAGAAAAAAGACAGCAAGGAGGACAGTAGCTGGGGGAGTTTGTCTCGTCCCGCGAATGATTCCAAGAAGAGGAAGGGCCCGCTTTCCAGCGACTCGTAATGGTACACGTAAATCTAGCTCAAAGCCCAGTTCTGCAAATGAATTTTTCGTCCCATATCATGCTTTTTGTGCTCCGCGATGCAACAAAATCGACTCAGAAAAAATAGAAAATACATCCCCCCGGGGGGAACTCGTGGGAAAAAATTACCCCGGGGGGAAATTGAAATACCCGGGGGGATCTCTTTTTTTGGGTCGAAAACGATCTACCCCGGGGCTAAATCAAAGAAACCCATGCCTCTAGGCCGAAAAGGTAATGTGGGGGGGGGGGAAAGAGGACTCTACTAAATAGGGGGGGAAACTCCGACGTTTACGGTATGTTCGTGAAAGACAAAGGAACTGGGCGGGTAACGTTCTTTGGTGTACTGGCACCGGAAACAAAACAGATCACGGAGTGGCGTCCAACGTCATCAAAGATTGGTCATCCGCGAAGCGCCCTTGTATTTTACTAACTACTGATGCTCCTGTAGCCTCGTGGTGACTCATGTATCAAGTCGGGATCGGCAGGCGAGGGTAGACCGAACAAATCAAATGCCGACCAACGACCAACGCACTTCACGTGCAAATGTACATACGTAGAAATGTCATAACTTCCGCACGCTGCACAATGAAGCTCGTTACACTGCTTCCACTTTGCTGTACAGGCGGTGCTTACCGTTCCGGAGATGGTCGCTTTGTCCAGCGACCGCGGCAGGCGGCAAGCGGCAGTATACAATATGCGTTGTAGGACGGCGGTACCATCAGCAGCAGCAGGTACATTGCGGCACAAGCAAGCACCCAGCAGATGGCCGAGGAAGAAGCTCGCTTGCTTCCTTCCCCTCCACTCTTCCAAGAATCCAAAGAGACCCCATTGCGGTCGTCCTGCACCGGGTGACTGCTGTTTGTATCATGCAATGCACCCTGTGTGTGTGTGCTACAGCGGTACTGTCACGCGTTGGCCAATGAGAATAGGACCGCATACGCAGGATTTTAAGAGTATCTAGAAAAATATATGGAGGGGGCACGCAGACCGTAACCCTAAACCTAAACCTAACCCCAAGCACGGATTATATACTTTGATGGGATTTGGATGGATCGAGATAGTCGGCGTTGCGAGTTGAGTGAACCAACCAGACCACGCTGTGCTGTTGCTGCTGCTGCTGCTACTGCTGCTGCGTATAAGGTTAGGGTTATGCAGTATACACGCATCATCGCGGGACATACGGGACAGAATCAACCAGGCTGCGTTGTGGTTTGTTGCCCACAGCTGCTGCCTCTCTTGGTGGCACCCCCGCTCCTGGGACTCCGAATTTCTTGTGTTGCCCCGGCGATAAATCGGGAATATCCAAGCGCTCGAGAGACGGGCGGGGGGTTAGGGGGGTGACTGCATGGCGTCGGCCGTCGAACAGCACGCAGCGCAGCAAAAGATGGCAGAAACCCTCGCTCGCCGGATCGAAGGGTAGCTAGCCAAGGTGAGTGAGTGTGGTGTGAGAGAGAGAGAGGCCAAGGGAGACAGTGAGAAAGCGAGGGAGATACGCTCTGGTCGTCTGGAACACCCGTCCGTTTCTCACCTAACCCCCACAGCAAAAACATCGGTCGCCCGGCGGGACATTCCCAGCAAAGAATCAATCGAAGGCGTTCATGCCGACAATGTTGTTGTTGTTGCCATTGTCTTTGCCGCGATTGCCGAGAGCGTGGGTACCGACACAAGTCCGCGACAACGTGCGTGAGGTGTTGGTGTGGTGTCCGGGGGGGGGGGGGGGGGGGGGGGG